TTAAAATAACGACGGTACTTTGAAGAGGCCCTTAGGCCTGACACAATGCTACCCGTTGTTACCTGAAGTACCCTTTACCAGAGGGTAAAAGGTAATTTACCTTACCTTTGCCGAAGCCCACTTGTGACTACTGTACAGTATGACTGTGATTAAGCATGAACAAGTTTGCTTTCAATTAGCGATAAACACGTGTCTGTTGTAGTTTACAACAGACACTGGAACCACTTGAGCGGTTTGCGATTGTCCCCCCACCAGCCATCACCCGTGCGGAAGGACAAGTCGGCATGGTTAAATGGCCCTACATAGTGCTGGCTCGAAGTCCCTCCAAAATCGTTGGTGTTCAGTCCCACGGAGCAGCTGTTGAAATCCACGAGGCCATCGCTGGCACTGGCATGCTTCGCCATTTTGTCCACAAGGGCCAACGGCTCCGAATAGATCGACTTCAGACCAAAGCCACTCACGCCACAAGCTGCATGCGACACATACTCGCGTCTGGCCCATTGGCCTGCAACAAACGCGGCTTGCTTGTCACGGTTCACGGTTGATTGATGCCGCAGGGAAAGGTACGCGTGAGCGGGAGGACAGTAGCCGGCCCACGACAGCGGCACTTTGAGGATATTGCTCCAGCCTCCGTCGCGACATTGCTGTTGCAAGAGGTTCACGGCTTGGCTGCCTTGTTGGGGGGACGCCAGCGACACCCACGTCACGTCGTTCGAGAACGTACACACGTTGGATGCGATTGCCCCGGAGGCAATGACGTTGCCCATCGAGTGGGTCACCAAGATAAGACTTCCAATGACCCCTGAAGACGACTGGGTGGCGGCGTCCGCGGCGGCTTTGCAAAACTCGTGCTGCAGCGCTGCGTCGTCCCAGCCTTGAGATACCGTGTCCCAGTGAACAAAGGTCGAGCTGGAACAACAAGGGGACGACACGTCCCCCCAGTACGACGAAAACGACGACGTCGGGGGCCCAGCCGTAGCTTCGCCCGACCCGTGGACAAACAAACACGGCTTTTTCGCGCCTTTGCATCCACATGTGAAATCGTCGATTGAGAGAATGTAGTTGGAAGTGATGAGAGTGTCGAAGAAAGCTCGGCCCAAGAAATGCGTCCGTGGGGCAGTCCAAAAAGGTTCGGGGTGTGACGACCGAGAAATCGACGGGCAATCTAGCGCGACTTCGTTTGCAGTTGAGGGCACTTGAATACTGTCAAGTTGCAAGGGATCGGCGAGATATTCGATCGAAATGTCCATATCTTGGCCCACCGCAAACGTGAGCTCGTTGGCAGCCGAGTTGCAAAACACAAACGATTCCCCTGCAAATGTCAATGAGAGCAACGTGCCTCCGACGCATTTGTCTGTAATTTCGGTGTGGCCCTCCACCCCGTCGATCACGCGAGACTCTGTCACGCTAGACTCCATCTAAACGCAGCCATGGATTGTGTGAGTTGAGTTTAGTGGACGACATCGAAGAGTTGAGTTTAGTGGACGACGCCGAAGGGTACTGTACCAATGAGAACGAAGGCAACAAAGACGGATCGAGGCAACGAACGGCACTGGTGGTGCCGTTGATAGATTGGGAAAAGTACCCCTTGTCGTCCACAAGCGTGTAAATGTCCAACTGCGTGGGGGTCGCTTGGAGGGTCATGATTGCATCAAACTGAAAACTTGATGCTGCCCCCCCTGGTTGTACTTGATGTCGGGGGGCCACAAAGATCGTGGCTTCGTCTAGCCCGTACACCTTCAAACTCGCGCGCTTGAAGTGCAAAGTGAACTTGAGTCCCGCGCTGAGTTGGAGGTTGGTTATAATCGCCTTGTGGCCATTGTCAGTTGCCTGTACAATCGTGACCGCGACAGCCCCGACGGCGACACAGACAAGCCCACAAACAACTGCAAAGACGACAAACCAACGAAGGCGCTTTTGACGAGTATTTGGGCCTAATTTGAAATTGAGGGCTTATGTTTTTATGGGAGCTCAAACCAGGGGGTGGCAAGGCTTGCTCTGAAGCAGACTCCTGTAGATCCAGCGGGGCGTAAGCTTTGGGCGAGGCGGTGACACCTTCGATAGGGGTGGCGGGACGCATTTGCGAGGAACAAGCCAAATCAGCAGTGAGTTGTGAGATGAAGCATGGAACACTGATACTAGTACCTCCAGGCGAGTTTGCTTCTGCCATGTCAAAAATGTTGAAGGACGGAAATAGAGCTGCGAAAACACAGACTCACAAATATAATATATACATACCCCCCCTAAATACGAATTGTAAGATAATATAAACGTTTGTTTTATTAATATTGCTCGTCGATACTGAAGGATATATAGAATTTGTACTTACCCCGGTAGTCAAACCTACAGTCATTTCTCGGAGGTACGGCACGAATGCGTGCTGGCAAGTCCGTGTACTTCAACGAGACATTTTTGAGACTGGTCATCTCATTGCATCCGTAGACAAACCCTCGCCTCCGAGGGACAGGTTAGCGCGGCTCCAGATGTCGGCAATATGTGGCAAATCTTGCCAAGAACTTAGCCACCTCGTTGATAGCACCGATCTGTAGTTTGCACGGTACTTGGACAAAGAGCAAGAGGAGGCGGTTCACAACGTCACAACTCTGGTGAGATGTGAGTTATCGCATGAAAACAAGCAATGCGCGCCTTGATTTGCCGCTCAAAACACGGTCATCTTTCTGGTTTTACATTATCTGTAGTTATGCTTTACAGTTAGTCAGTCGTCTACTCGAAACGGGTCATATTTCGATATGTTTACAGTGTTACATCTATAAACTGATGTTATCATTTGTTAACTGTAAGGGTGTGTTCAATGCATATCCGAGCATTTGTGGATATTTGGAAGCCGTATATATCCAAATTTGAAATTGTCAAGATATATCCATTGTTGGCCTTGAACACATTTTCAACATCCAAAACGGCAGTACCTTATGTTCAAATATACTGAATATCGTAATAAATTTATGAAAAATAGATTGTGCAAGGGAATCTCATGAGTGGACGATGTATCCATTCGAACATGCCGAACTTGTTCCTGGTAGAGCATCATGCTAAATGTTCGTACGCGATAATATCGAAGAATCGTGTACTGCATAGGTAGTTCATACATTAACGTGTGCACTGTGTTGCGAATTACACTCATAGCACATTGATACTGACGGAATCAACCACTCTAGCGGATTCACAATCATAACGTTATTCGTTCAGTGACGGACGGGACTCGGGCAAGTATGTGCGTAAGCCTAGATATCGGTTGGTTACACTGTGCGATGCTCGCAGTGAATGCCGCCTGCCTACCTAATCGGTATGAACGAGCCGAGACAGTTGCGGTATCGGTTGCCAGCGTTGATCCCGCAACTGCCTCGGCTCGTGCAACCTGTCTTCGAAGGCTTGCAATGTACGAGTACTCCTGTGTGCAAATCTGTGTAGAATAGAACAAGCACCACACCAACTCCCTACCCACAAGTGCTGCCTGCGCCAACATGGTGTCGACTCCATGTCGTCACGACAGATCCAATCGTGTTTTGATTCCGTTCCCTCTATAATTGCATTTTTTGGATATCAAGCACCATGTCACATCCCTCCAAAAAAATTCCAGCATATTTTTGGCGGATATTTGGCTTGGGGTGTTCACAGTCTTCACAGTCAATGGAATTTCGAAATATCCGGATATATCCACTAAAATATCCGCACTTTGGCGTTATTGAACACGCTAAGGGAAGTTTGAAATCCAAGTTCATCACGACCAAATGAAGTGCTGTCGTGTGCCTCAGGGTTGCACAGCAATCTGCAAAATGAAACAAGACAAATGGACAAATTCTTGAAGTCCTCGGCGCTGATATAAATTTTGAGCTTGCATTTCATGCACACGTTAAGTTCCAAAGAGTCCTTGTGTTTTCTCTTGGCAAGATCATTCAGCTACTGCTACTGAATACTTTGTGAGCGAATTGCCTGGTCATTTTTTCATTTTTCGAGGATTAATACGAGCGCCAACTTTCGATAGATAATCGAAATTCTTAATTTGGCCCAGACGTCAGAAAATTTACTGGTTTCACAACCTCACCAATTGACTGTCAAACCGCGCAAACTGTAAAATCCTAAACTAAAAAAAAACCAGTTTTCGATGAATATTATCTCCAACACATCCCCAAATATCGACATCACTACTGTATCTCTAAAATAGAGCAAGTTCATTGTTTTTGGGGTGTCCACAAGTAAAAGTCCATTTTGGGTGCTATCCTCATCTCAATATGCCCTACACTGGAAATGCAATGAATGACGTAGAAGGGTACATACAGTAGTTGTGGTCCAGTTGTGTACTACTAAGGGGAGTACAGTAGTATTGTACTCGTAGTGCTGCGACGTTGCAAGACACCATGTTACGGTAAATAACGAGTTTTGGGGTTAGTACATAGTACAAGTAGTTGACCAACGGACGTATAAGGTGGATGTTCATGTATATCAAGGTGGAATGAATGTGGAGCTGGTTCGTACATACTAGGTAGTACACACTGCGCAGTTAGTTTGCGGATAGGGACGATGGCTAGCACCCCCATGAGCTGTTTGGGTCACACTGAGCTTAGTATTAAGGTAGGTAGGTTAGTTGCAACTGGCAATGGCATTAAGTATGTTAGCAATTTCTTCAACTTCGAAGTATTTCATAGAATACTCAAGTACTTATATTAAGTCAAGTCCAGGAGGGTTTCGTAAGAGTACTACTCCGGAGTACCCAATAATCAGAACAGTATCCGGGTAATTGCACTGTTTTTATGGATATTATGTCCTTGTCATGAAATGTTCTAAATTTAACTATGACCGCGGTCATGACCACAGTTTCCTCATGTATGTGGCCAATATAACAGTGGATCCTCGATTTTTGCACTCATTCAACAATATAAATCTATAGAGGTACTAGCCAACAAGGTTACGAAATATTGGAGGTGCAACCGCAACCAAGGCTACGGCGGGTTTGCAAGCGGTGCTGGTGGGCATCGTCGTGCCGGGAGTGACACTGTGGTCAAGTTGGCCAATTCGTTGGGATTCGACGCTCGAATATCGTGGAGTAGTGTTAGCATAACGAGGTTGGAACACCACCATATCGTTGAAGAAGTGAAAGACCTTTGAGAGTTAATTGTGATTGGGCATGTAGGTGCAGGAGTGCACAAGGACATTGCGCACGTGCGCAAAGCCGCAGGACTGCACAACTTTGAGATGGTCAAGGCAATCTCTTTGCACCCACAGCCATTTTCCGTCGACAACGACATGCGCACCCCTACGTTTAAACTCCAGCGCCACGACGTCAAGGAGGCGTTTTTGCCGACCATGCAAGCGGGATATCTTTTTCTCGTGGATATATTTTCCCCATATAACCATTCAAGTTGTCAATCGACAGTCTGTATTGACAAGGCAAGTGGTGGAGTGCACCACAGTCAGCCACAGACCTTTTGCTATTCTGCCATTCAGCTTTCATCGATTCTCCAAATTCCCTTCAAAGTAAATATTATACTATCTTTCATGGGTTATTCGTTTATTTTACATAGGGTGCAATAATCGAGGATCCACTGAATCTACAAAATATTAATGCTACTCTGGATAGCATTCTGTGGGCTTGAAACTTTTACTGAGATTGACCATGAACATCGAGTGAAAGGTAACACCTTCTACCGCAAAAACATGGCAAAATGCAAAATGACAACTTTTTAACGAGAAAATGTAAATACATTAACACAGACTACAACAAACACTGAAACCACTTGAGCGGTTTGCGATTGTCCCCCCACCAGCCATCGCCCGTGCGGAACGTCAAGTCGGCATGGTTAAATGGCCCTACATAGTGCTGGCTCGAAGTCCCTCCAAAATCTTTGGTGTTCAGTCCCACGGAGCAGCTGTTGAAATCCACGAGGCCATCGCTGGCACTGGCATGCTTCGCCATTTTGTCCACAAGGGCCAACGGCTCCGAATAGATCGACTTCAGACCAAAGCCACTCACGCCACAAGCTGCATGCGACACATA